CTCAAGAATTGGAGGCAAAAGTATCTTAGCAAAGAATTAATCAGTAAAGACATGATTTGGTAGAACCTCAGAGGAGGAAAAATTATATGAAAGTCTGTATTCTGAATGATAAAAGCTCTAGCTGTTTATCTGAGTCAGCAGGCAAAACAGGAGGAACCAGGCAGGGGATGGCAACATGTCTCTGAAGGGAAATTGACCAATCCAAGAGAAACTACACTATAATAACAACGCTTGTGATTTTTCTTTAAATGGATGAAATCTTGTCAATCCTATAGTGTTGGTAATCAACGGACAACCTTCATACAGAAAGTTAGTTCCCCATATCTACAGAGGGTTCATGCACACAGAGTTCCTCATATGCTTCCTAGTGCCTCACATTTAATAGTGAATAGACCTCTTCAAGAAATGGTGCAGGGAGAACTGGACATCCATATGTAGAAGAATGAAATTAGATCCGTACCTTTTGCCATATACACAAATCAACCCTAAATGGATTAAAACCTTAAATATAAGACCTGAAGCTATAAAAGACCTAAAAGAAAACATAGGGGATATACTTCAGGAAGTAGGACTGGACAAAGACTTTATGAATATGACCTGTAAAGCACAGATAACAAAAGGGAAAATAAACAAATGGGATTATGTAAAGCTAAAAAATGTTCTGCATAGCAAAAGAAACAATCAACAGAGCAAAAAGACAACCTACAGAGTGGGAGAAAATATATGCAAACTATGCATCTGATAAAAGATTAATATCCAGACTACATAAAAAACTCAAACAACTTAACAGTAAATAAACAACTAATCAAATTTAAAAACAGGCAAAGAAGCTGAATAGGCATTTCTCAAAGGAAGATACGCAAATGACCAACAGTCACATGAAAAAATGCTCAACATCACTCAGCATCAGGGAAATGCGAATCAACACCACAATGGGATATTATCTCATTCCAGTTAGACTGGCTATTATCAAAAGACAGAGAATAACACATGCTGGTGAGGATATAGAGAAAGGAGAATCCTCCT